GTGTCTATGTTTCCTTATTGTGTTTGTTTTACATATTTGCATGCTTTCAGTATTTGCAGGGGCTGCTTTCTGCATGAAGAACATCAGCTCCAGGGCTGAGATGTTTTTTGTTTCCTGTCCGCCTTCCGCAAAAACCTTCCTGCTGCGTGCTGGGGTGGCTTTGGAGAGATGTGGTGCCGGGGCAGTTTTCAGTCCTGCAGGAGGCCATGTGCACTGACTTACAACAGCAGCGGTTCTGACTCTCAGTGTTGCTTCCTCACATTTCCAGAAGAAAGGCAGAAGGTCCCACCAGCCATCTAGCTGTGCGAAGTTGAGGAATGTAGGAGGGTCACTTACTGACCTCTTATCTAGCTTCGATTGTACACATTATCGCAAAGCTTTTTCATACTTTTATTTATATTATTTATAAAAAAGCTGTTTGCAGGGCTTTTAAGATTTGGCAAAGAGAAAATTATTCTTTATTTGCAACGGTGTTGTCATCGCTGGAGCAATAATAATGCCCTTGTTAGTGACATTGAGGAAGTGCTGCCATTAACACAGTTTATTCAGGCAGCAGAAATTCTGAATTCTGTCTTTGTTCTTTATTCAAAACATTTTGCTTTGGTCACATCTAGAAAAGAAAACAAAGTTTAAGTTGCATTCATCATTAAAGAACACTTACTTGCTGAATGATTACTGTACTGTACACAGTTTCTTAAAGAAACACGCTTGCATTAATTTAAGTACAGTATATAACTCTTTTTTCCAATGTGTGCCAGTACTGTACAGTGTACAGATGTCCACTGAAACTGATAATTGTACCGCCAACAGTTCTAGCTACAGAACACATTTCTGAATACTGACATAAGCTACGCCACATGACTCATTTTGCTTTGCAGATGATCGTACTTGCAGTAAAATTGAAATTTGCTGCAGACTTTATGCTAATAGATAGCGGAGGCTTCATTTCTATTTGGGTCACATCCTCAGTGACCATCCGGCCTCGTCTGGGAACAATCTCGATAATTATTTCAAGAAAAGAAGACTCTTTTCTAGCACACA